TGAGGGAAATCTGCCAATGCAAACTCCTCAGATTGCTGATGAATTTTCGAAATCGCTGATGGTTGCTGTGACTGACGCTTCGGCCGTGAAATCGGAAGCGAGAATATGCAGGATGCTTCAAATGGACCTCAAAGTGCAGGAAATGTTGCAGAACGATTGCAACGAGTTGTTCTATCTAGCATTGTATCTCTGTGATGTTATCAATTCAACCTTTCTTTGACGAGTAATAGCTGGGGCAATTCCAGGAGATGTTCAATCATGCTCCTTGGCTATATCCTGGTACACAACAATTGATGATACTACAATTAATGATGCCTCCTCCAATTGCCAAACCACTATTCTTGGAACAAGATGAACGTAGGGTTCAAAGGTCTTTGCAAGTTGGGGAAGCATTCCTTAAGGGAAGGCCAAAATTCTAGATTTTAAGACCTCTTTTTAATCCAGACTTAATTTCAAAATGTTAATGGAAAAAAATAAGAAACTTCGAGAACGTGTCTTAGCTTTAGAATGTTAGAAAGAAAAGGAACCGCAATTCTCCACGCCTAATGGGGAACAAAAGGAGGCTGAGACCACCATAAAGGAGGATGTGAGACCCCTAAAGACTGAAGCAGAAGAAACGCGAAATTCCCGAAACCACAAAAGAGGCCGCCGGCCCCCAAAGGTCCAGCAATGATGGAACTGCTAGCTTTACCGAGAAGCAGAATTTGCTGCGCAACTTAGAAGATCCTCCGGAGGTCCAGAATGTCTTGGACGGCCCAATTGCCGTGAGACGGTGGCTCCGGACAAGAACGACAGAAATTGGTGCAATTGCCCCTGACCCAGCACTACAATTAACAGGGTTGTTGAAAATGACCAAAAGGATTTTGGAAAGCCATCGAGAGTTGCAATTCAGGGTATCCTTGGTAAGATTAGGATTACAAGTGGACATAATTTCAAGTGAAATCAATGCGGAGCTGTTTGTATACTACTTGTTGGCCGAATTTGAACAACTTACCCTCACAGAAAAATATCTTGGAACACGAAGGGATCCACAAAAACCAAAACCTCAAGAAGCCGAGAAGCCGAAGGTTTCCAAATTGAAGAAGTTAGAAGAAGAAACGAAGTCCCTTCCGAGAAGAAAGGATTCTAGGGAAGAGAAGCTTAAATCCAAATTCTATTTGAGCGAACAAGGTTGCCGACGTGGAAAAACTTGCAATTGGTGGCATTATCAAAAGGATGAGCGCCCCCGATGTCGGAACTGTGGAAGCCCTGAATACATGGCTCCAACTTGCACTCGTCTAAAAGAACGAGGTGATGCATCTTCAACGAAGCCCCTCCAAGATTTCGGGGTCGTAGAGGGTGTGTTGTACCAGAGTCTACAAGTCCTTGAAGACTCCCATAGCTAACCTGACTGATCTTAAAGATATTGAGTTTCAATTGATCCAATTGGCTCTGGAATCGTTCCACTACGTCTTCTCTGGAGTCAGTGGCACCCCCAGTCGCCTTTGAGGATACAGGGTTGATTTTAAAAATCTTGAGTTTCAGCTGATCCAATTGGCTCTGGAATCGTTCCACTACATCTTCTCTCGAGTCAATGACACTCCCAGGCGCGGTTGAGGATACAGCGGTCGTAGTCAAAGATTTCAGCATGGTAGTGGCTTGCTCCCATAATTCTTTCAGCATGGCCTTCAATTAATTTGTTGTTTTCTTTAACCTTTGAGCTTATAAATAATAAATGCTTCCCCTCAACCTTCTGAATTTTAAGGTGATGAAATCTATAAGCGTGTTTTTATCACACTAACCAATGGAGAGACGACTTCATTGTAAGTGACTCCTGGCGGCATCATGGTGACTGAAAGAGCCGATATCGAACCAATACTCCCTATGGGACAACTTGTTCATGACCTTGGTTACGAAGTATACTGGAAAAATGGTAACTTGAAGATCTTTCATCCACGCCGAGGTCTGCTACCAGTGCAAAACCAAAAAGGCTGTCCTCAATTACCACGAGCTCTAGCCTTGGATTTGATCGAGGAAATGGAGGTGGTGGGAAGTCAAAGAATTATGATTGAAGTGTGAGGTTTGAGAAAGAGCATGGATGGAGGAATTGATTCAAAAGGACCCTGTTCTCCGTGAACTTCCATAACGAATTAAAGACCGACTTTTGGTCGATGCGGGCGATTGGAAAGATCTGTCAATCAACCGATGCCAAAGAAAAAATCTTCAGCGTGATGGCTGTTTGGTGCATCTATATGCTGGAGAAGATGATGGATTTAGCTTGTCAAGAATTTTGAAGCAGCAAGGGGGAGACACCAATCAAATACTTGAGATTGACTTGAAACGTGTTGAGTCCCACAATATGTTGAACGATATTGGAACGTCTTCTTTGCGCAATCATGCATGACAAGGTGGATGCCTACATTGCCGGACCCAATTGCAGAACGAGATCGGTCCTCCGGTATTACCCAAAAGAAAATGCTCCGCGACCAATTCGAGCGTGGAATGGAGCTGAATATGACCTTTCTGACCTAACACCTGTGGAATAACGACAATTGAATGAAGATAATATTTTGATGTGGCGATTTATCTTTGTATGGATGGTTACAACATATCTATGATGTCAAAGGCCTGTGACCAAGGGCATGAATTCCAAGGTCAGTCCAAAGTTTGGTGTCGCGAATGTGGAATTTCCTACACTAGAACTCCTAGTGAAGACCCTCGATCGAACGGCCGTACTGAATGTACTGTGAAAAGAATCAAAACCCAGATTCGCCGAGTTCTACTGCAAGCCGAAGCTCCGGGATCTTGGTGGCCCTGGATCACAAGGTTTGTCAACGAGCTCAATCGTGCTGCTCGAATCGGAAAAAGGTCAGATTGGCCACCATTCCTCTTTACTGTCATGGTTCGAAAACGAAAGTGGCGCCGTGGTGTCTTTGAAATTTCCACGGAGAATGTCAAGGACCTTTGCCCGTCACCTGAAAACCATGCTC